CACACGATATTGCAAACGTCGTTTAAACAAACGACGATCATACCATGAACCCATGCCGCCGCAGTTTTGACTATCCTTCGAGATGCAAGGCTCCAAGTGACCCTTCGCTTTCAATCTTGTTTCTACGAACGACTGTATGGAGCCGTAGATGTTCTGATGCACCATCATGTTGCTCTGAGCAGTGTAGCATCCTTCGCCGATGTGTGAGGCTGATTCCACCGGTGCTGCGACGTGGTCAGGGAATCTCATCTGCTCCTTCCAGCCTCCTAAAAACATTCCATTAGCAAGCGCTTCATAGAACATGTGTACACCGACGTCCGTCATTTTAACTTGGCTTTTGTGATCGAGATTCCGGTGGCATGGTCACGAATACAATGACATCGAAGCTTCAAGAAGGAAATGGTTCCAAGGTTTATGCGAAGAAGTCAAGCGGTGCATACAATCTCGGTCATCTGAGCTAGCGTGGCCCAGAAGTGCTTTTGAGGGCAGGCGCCCAAAGTATGAGTTACCATAACGCCAGGTGAACGAATGAAAACGATGTCATGCAAACCAACGCAGGGCCATCGAGATTCGTGGCGACACAACGCAGAAGAACAGTGCAACATAACTATACAACTGCTCTATTGGCTGCGACAGTAACCAAATCTTCCTCGATCGTCTGAGAATTGTTTCCGTGCGGATAACGCTTAATTTTGCCCTCTATATCTATGGACAGTTTAAGTATTGAATGAGCCCGCCTGGTGGATGTTATACCCGTTCTAAGAGACCCGTTCCTGTGGCGATGGTGTAAATTCCTAGGTGATGCTTCTTCTTTAGAGTCATGAGCAATTTTCTCTTAAACACGGCATCAAATTAATCAGCATCCCAACAAGGGATTCGATCGCACTCATTCAGAACCGTTTCAAATCCATAGCAATTTCAAGTTTCTGAACGGTTGCACACTTTTTTATTGCAACACTTTATTTATGTTGTTATATGGGTAACATATCGATTTATGCGTTGTTCTTTTGATTTCCCAGAGAGTGGCAGCGAAACTTCTTGCTGAACTGGAAATGAGTCGCGTAGCGAAGGGATCACCCTCGCCATCAGCCCGACAGCTTTAATTCACGAAATTTGGCGTGCCAGCTGTCAACAGTACAACAGCTG